TAAAATGCAATAAAAATCTCAATTTTGCTAAAAAATTCCCGGAACCTGATTTTCCTAGCAATCTACCCATATAATAAACTTTTATTAATATTATCATCTTTTTCTAATCTTTTTATATAGGATTTTACATTAAAAACAACACAATAATTAGTATACTTATTATTTTGTTCTGATGATGAAAAGCATGACCACATATAACATTATACCTTCTTCTTTATCTAAATATTTAAATTATTAGATGGTGGTTTAAATGTATGATATCCAGTAGTATTTTATGATAGGACTTTGGAGATCAATTTTGTACCAATCAAAATTATTAATTATGTGACATTTCAAAAATGATTATCACACAAATTTCAACCAATAAAATTGTAGATAACTTAGTCCATTGATTATCGCGTTTTTTCGCGTTTAACTTGTTATAGTATATTTTATTTTTTAATATGATCAAAAAATACAAACTTTCTCATTTTATAAGGCGGGCAAAAAAACTTTTTAGATCCTCGTGACCGAATAGACACACTGAATCTTGTCGTTTGGAAATACTGTTAAATTATCAATGAGGATCAAGAAAGAAATTGAATGAGGATGGTATAAATCTACGTTAATGCAATATGTCGTTATTAACTTCCATATTGAAGAATAATGGAAGGGAATCACTAAATATAACAAACCAAGTCTACTTGGACATTTAAATTATCGAAAAATCAAGGTGGACATCTCGAAAAAGAGAGCGAATTTTCACTATGTCGTCAAGATTTTGAATGCATAAAACATCACTACAAGATAAAAGTAGATACATCGCAATATCATTAAACATATTAAACCTATTGAGAATAACTTTGTGGTATGTGCTGAACTGCTGAAGAGACCTTATAGGGATATTCTTTACATACTGCACATACTGTACTGTTCTACGTACAAATGTACGTGTACAGGGAATATTACATCGACTATTATACTGTTCAAGGTATGTAAATAGATGATATTAACTGATTTATCATATCAATGCTTGCTTATATTTATTGTAATTGTTTAGGATCAAGAAACCAGCACCTTTTCCGCTAATAATGATCAATCTTCCCCCTAATGATCGGTGAAGATGTTGACAATGGTCAGTTGAACTAAAAGACTTAGAGTCTGAGAGAATAACAATTATTTCAAATTCACCTTTACAAGGCATGCCAAGTAAAATCAATTTTACAAAAATACGCCACAAGATTGATGAATATCGAAACACTATCCCGAAATCAAAACAATTATATAATCTGTTATGGCATCATATTATTGATCATTCTGGAAAGCAAATAATCTATTTGATATGAATGCTCTAAATGAAAGCATTTGCGATAAGGTTTCATTTGAAACCAAAAAGACGTGTGATGAAATTGGAAATTTATTGGACAAGTTATATGATGTAAGAATTAAGACGTGAAAGTGATTTTTTTAAAATGTAAGATTTAATTTCCTAATTTATTTATCTTGATCTCACATAGGATCCAAATATTGGAATTATGACCACTTCAAATGATTATGAAAATGATTTGAAAGAACTCTTCATACGTGTGCAAAGATACTTAAGCCAAATATGTATCGGAATATTTTACCTTACTTCATGCCAATTTAAGACTATGAGAAATTTACTTTATATTGGTATGTATGTATTAAAAAACTTTTATCCTAATTTTCCATTTATTAATCAAGTTTTATGCAAATTATAGCGGCGAGAAGTCTTTGATAAGTTCTAGCGAGCTTACTTTAGGTTATAAATTTGAAAGTATATACAATGATCCGCTTTAAATGTCTCTTCCGCCTAATTTACTTAATGGATACTGGTTACCGGTATCAATACACGAAATATCGAAAATTATTTTAAACGTGTTGAAAACAATGCATGATAATATTAAGGCAATATCTTGAACTTGATCAAGAAAAAAAACTTGGAGAATCAACAAAACGGAGATTCTGCCAGCAACAAACAGAATTTGGAAAACGAGCCTCGATTCCAAAAGCATTGTATTGAAGTGAATAAAGAATATGAAAATATGAAAAAGCAACAGAATCTCTTAGAAAGTCCTTTTTTACCATTATCAATAATTCATCTGATCCTGACGATGTCGAGAAAGCGTGTGAACTTCTTGAAAAATCTAAGGTTGGGTAAAAATTTTGCTTTTGCAGTATTGCAACAGGCAATAGGTGTGCAGCTATGAGGTATACCTTTAGGATACCTTTTTACGATCTATTGGCTGTTGATCTTGTGCTAAAGGTTAACCATCTTGTGGATAGTTAGGAGGCTAATTGCTAAACCTGTTGAATATGATGCCCTGCTTTCTAGGCACACTATTAGAAACTGCTCTAATGATTTTTTTGTTGTCATTATTTGAAGAAAGGGCGAAAATCAGGAAATTTAAGCCTTGTAGCTCACGTTGAGAAATGAAAATATGTGGAGTTAGCAACTGATATAGCCAAAAAAAAAAAAGACTGAAGAAGTTACTGAAAATATTAATTAATTCTATTAAAGAATCAGATGATATTGAGGTTGGTAACAAAATAGATTTTATTTATGAGCAATTTTCCTATTTTACGAATTATAATTTTTTTTTTTTAAAGATTAAAATTGAAGGAATCATTTGTAAGGAAATATCAATTAACAAGAACATTAAGGTTATTATTGAAAGCTTTGAAGATTACAAGAAGGATACTTTAGCAATTGCTAATATATTGACTCTGATACCAAAAGGCTCATTTATAAAAACAATGTCATACAAAGAATATCTTTTCTCATTAGAATATTTGAATAATAATATTCCCGATGAAACACATGATTTTCTTTTACTAGAATTTTTTGGGTATATATGTTTTGACTTATGTGTACTTTTAATATTATGCTTTTGTTTGGTAACAAGAACTTGATATATTGACAATGGTTATATATTTTGGATGATTTAAATATCAAAAGTTTTGACAAAGTAACTCAAATTGCAATAAGAATTATAAAAAAAACTTTTGATAATTTTATATAAATGATTTTATACATTAATGCTTTGATGTATTATGCTAACATTTATTACATAATGTAAATAAATTTCCTCTTGTATTAAACTCTTGTATTTATAGCATTATGATATCATTCATTCTATAGAGCTATTATTTATTATTATTAAATTTATTAGCATTAATAGACAAAAGGTGATGAAATTGGTTTTGCAAGTATTAATTAATATATATTGAAGGAAGTTATTTGTATAATATCAAAAAAAAAAAATAAATGATTATGTAAAAGTTATATACAAAAAATTTAAAATGTTTTTTGATATTATAAAAAACAGAATAGAAAAATGAAAGATAATAATAATTCTTTAAGAAAATTAGTTATAAACTTGAGATACATCTATATCTGTCTTAATTTGCTAATATGCATATATATATATATATTTTTAATATAGTCATTTATAATTGAAGAATTTAAATGTTAATATATAAATAGGTTGTATCACTTATATAAATAAAAATTTTGGTATTTTGCTTTATTAAAACAAAATTCATTTAATTAAACTATTATAATACAAATAAAAAATAATAATGTTTCAAGAATAATTTAAGGAATACATTTATATTATCTATTACATCACCTTTATAATCATTGGTTATATGTTAAATTACCACTAACTAGTTCAACTGATTTAATTCAATTCGATTATTCAGTTAGATTTTATATAAATTAGATCAGATTTTAATTTAGACCTTTTAATACTAAAACAAAATATAAAAAAATAACCTTTATGAGTTTATCAGATTTTAAATTTGTTTGTATTTTTTAAAATTAAAATAATTTTTTTTAATAAAAATTAAATTATTAATAAATATTAAATTAAAAATTATTAATTAATATAATATTATTATTTTATTTACTATATTTATGATTAAAAATTTACTATCAATAATTTATAATAATATAAAATGTTCACTTTGTTTGATTTATTACAATATGCATTTATATCATAATTTTATAAAATTATTTAATTATCTAAAATAATAAATTTTTTATAAAAAAATTAAATTATATAATGATAATAAATCAAATAGAATTATATAATAACAAATTATTTATTAATATTTATTTAATATTAATATACTTCTATGCAAAAAGTTTAGAACTACTTCTAAGATTTATAATAATAATATATAAATAGAAAAATATTATTTATTTGTATAACTTAAAATAAACTATTTATGATGTATTGATTAGTAATAATCATCACACAAATTTTTTTCCCTGTATTTATTTCTCTGTATTTTTGCAAAAAATGATTAAAAAAAAAGAACTAACAGATTTTAAACATGATAAAATCATCAGTTTTTATAAAGCTGGTGACTTTGAAGGGCTATTTTAAAAAATATGGGTTATGGCAAAATGACAGTACATAATATAATAACAAAATACTGTGAAAAGTGTGCTATTTCTGTTACTTATAAAAGTGAACATTCTAAGAAAGTAACTGAACAAGATAAGCATTATCTTAAGACTATTATTGTCAAAAACTAGCATAAACCTGTTGAAAAAATAAAAGAAATTTTTATCAAATCTACTGAAAATGTAATATATAAGTATACTATGAAAAAAATATTATATAAAATAGGATATAACAGTTGTACAGTCTTTAGAAAACCTAATGTTAGTAAGAATAATCAAAAAATTCATTTAAATCAGATTTGTAAAAGGTGTCTATAGACTATAAATGACTGAAAAAAGTTGTGTTAAATGACGAATCTAGATTTACTATTTCAGAATGATGGAAAAATTCAAATTTGAAGGCTTTCTAAAGAAAAATATAATATTAATTACTTTGTTCCAATTGTAAAACATGATAGTAGAGGAGTTTATGATATGGAGGTACTTTTCTGATATAAGTTAAGTCCTTTAATAAATGGTTAATAGGTAGCTAAATAGTGAAAGATATATTTAAGAGATTCTTGACTACCATTTAATCTCATTTTTAAAGAAATTTAAAGAACAAAATGGAGAATATTTATTCTAATAAGATAATATACTAATTCACACAAGTAAATAAACATGAAACTTTATTGAAGAAGGGGATATAATTTGATTACCTTAGTCAGGCAAAGTCTTGATCTTAATCCTATAGAGCATTTATAAGATAAGCTTGAACATCAAATCTGATTAAAATAAAAAAATCTAAGGAATATGAGAGAATTAGAACTTCTTCAACAATATTAATTAGAGATTTCAGATGAAATTTATCAAAATATGATAAAAGTATTTATCAATATCTTGTAGGATAGTTATAAACTTTTATTACTACTTCTACTTAATAATTCATACTTTCAATAAAAGTAAAATCAAGAAATAATTTTTTTATTTCATTTTTTTTATTGAAAATTATTTCTTTTTTACTAAAAAAAACTTTAGTATATATTAATTCTTCAATTGTATAGGTTTTTAGATTCTCTTTTTTTTTGTTATATACATTAAATGCTTTTTAATAATTATGATTTAATAAATATAATTATACAAACTATTTTTTTATTTATGAAAAGTCACATGCCTTAAATATAATTAATAATGATTAGCAAAATAAATACTTATTAAATTTCTAATATTTTATTTGTTACTTACAAATAATATTAAAAAAATTAGTTTTTATTCAATAAAGTAATTATAAATAATTTTTATAGCTTAATAATGTTAGTTATTTAGAAAAACTATTTATTCTACAATTTATTAGATGGTTCTAAACTTTTTACATAGGAGTATATATGATTCTTACAAATTATAATAGTTAAATAAGTGATTTTTTAATCTATATATTTAAAAATATTAACGGTCACGTGGTATTATGTTTAGATTACTCTATATAAATAATCATAGAATTGTAAAATATTATACAAAACCAAAAAGGCAATTTTATCTCTTAGTAAAATTCAAGTTCAAGTCTCAAAATTGGTTATACAAGTTTCCCTTTTAGGATATTTATATAATGTCACAAGAATTACAAGAAATTATATTTTCATAGTAAGACAATTGTATTTAAAATTATTGATTATTGATATGTAACACTGATATCTGAAGTGTAATCAACTGTTGATGTAAGCAACGGATGTTTATTAGTTTGAATAATAATTCAATTATAAATATAATATTTAAATCTAATATTTACCAATTATAAATTTAATAATTTATAAAAATTATTTAAGATTTTAAAATTTAACAATAAAATTTTATTAATCTAATTATCTTTAAACTATTAAATAAAATTTTTAAAATAGATTATTAAAATTATATTATATTTACATAATTTTAAATTTATATTTAGAGTTTTAGATAAATTGAGTTAACTTATGAATCAGATAAGCTAAATCGAATTTAAATCAAATCAAGTTTCTATTTTTTTGACTCAATAATTTATGAGTCAAATTGAGTTTGAGTCAAGTTAAATATTTAACTCAACTTAATTTAAACTTGACTTGAATTCAACTTAACTCAAATTAACTTGAAACAGTATTATAAATAAATTAATATTTTAAAACTATAAAAATTATAATATTATTAATATATAGTATTAATAATAATTTAATATAATAAATTTAAATTTTTTAATACTTATTTCTTTTTCTATTACTTAAACGTTAACAGTTTTTTTGGTTAATGTAATTATATAAAGTTAAAAAATATTTATTTTTTTAATTCTAATTAATTGAATAGTAATAATATTAGATTTTTTAAAAAAAAAATTATTTTAAAAAATATAATACAAATTTATAGCTTTATTTCACTATAAATTGTATTAAGAAATCAAGAAAAAAAATAAATAAATATAAAATTCAACTTTATTTCACTGAAAATTGCACTTATTTATAAAAAAGAGTTTGCATAGAAGAAATAATCTAATCCCAAAACTATATAAAGATTATTCCTATACTTTAGACTCTATTCAAATAAATTATAAATTAAAAGTTTTTAAAAAAATTGATTTTACTATTTAGTATAATGCTCTTATTAATATCACAATAACCTGAAATACTAAAAAAAAATAATTAGTAATTTCTAATACCCTTATTGAACTGATACTGTAACAGCCTGAAATTCTAAAAAAAAATAATTAGTCATCTATAAATTAATTATATCTAATATTATATAAATTAGTCTTACTTTTTAAATCAGTTTATCTTAAATTAATTGATTTATTAA